CTCCCCAGGCTATGGTGTTACCCTGAATCAAAAGAAAAAAAAGTCAACTCCTGACTCCTTGTTCATTCATAAACTTTTCCCAGAAAGTCTTTTTTCTCACACTGTGTTTTAAAATAAATCACCATGGCTATAGAAATACTCATACAGAAATACAAATTAATCATGAAACCTCTTCAGACACACAGATAACCCATTTGTCACTAGTTCAAATTAAAAAATCCAAATTCAAAAATAGATATTAAATTTATATGAATCACACACCTTACATCACAGTAAAGAGAGATGGATTTCTGAATAATCCATTTAAAGTCTTAAGTATGGAAATGTCCATAAGTGTTTACGAAATGAGTATTAGTCAACATTAAAAATGCATCGTAAAAACAGAAATGGGTAAAAAAAAAAACTTGAATGCTTTAAGAGCTCTTCTGCTCATCATACACGATCACCCACAGCTACTAGAAAATATAACTTGAATGCATAGTGCTCATTTTTTCAAGTCCAAATTTTATCTAAACATAAAACTGTCTCTAAAAAGGGTCAGGTTATAAATGAATTTCCTGTTGACTTTCAAGTTTAAAACACTTACATTAAAAATAATATTTATTTTTAAATGACTAGATGGACAATTAATCCAAATTTAGAAAGGAACAAAATACGTTACAATAGAAGAAATGGGACAAAGAAAATAAATTGACAACTGATAGGACTGTTTAACTGTCAAAACACATGCAGGTTTAAATTTCACTGAAATCATGAAGAATAGAAAGCATTTTTAAACTTAAGTTTCAGTTCCAATAAACTAAGAAATTATTTTTGAGACTCATGTGGTAATGTGTTACACTTCACTCAGAGTCTGAGTCTCTGTGGCAACATGAATTTACTACATGCATATTATATACTGGAGCTATGGATACTGATGATAGAAGCTCCAAATGTTCTTCACATTATTTGTCTGATCAGGAATCTCTTCTGCATTTTTCATCTTCTTGTGCCGGGAGGATTTGAAGTTGATCCTCAACCTGTTTGGTTGCATTATGAACTTGGTTATCAGGTTCTAGGCTAGAACTCAAATCTGGAGTTTCTCGCCCAGAGGTAGGGACACTTTTTACTGCCATTCATGACTTCCAGATAAATTACTTAGATCATTTAAAACACAATTTGATTTAGGTTTCTTTTAAAATTAGCTAATTTTTAAATGTTTTCCTTACAACAACAGAGAATGGACAACAATTCTCACTGTCATCGCCCTGACATTCGGTTTGTGTTATTGATATGTAGATCAATTTCACTCTTTTGAGGCAAGGAAATGTACCATTCGCTTCATCAACCAACTGCCCCAATGTATAAATAGTAAAGTGCACCATTTGATGTCCAACCAAGTAAATAATTGAAAAATCTACAATTTTAATTCATTAGTAATAGGGCCATAAATTGAAAATGTCAGAGTCTATCAGAATGTAACAAGCATTGCAATGACTTATGTAACAGAAGTGCATTTTATTAGGATTCTGTGCCTTAGGTACATTTTTTAAATCAACAATTACAATACTGGGGACAACGGTATGAGGGCGTGTATAGCACCCCTGCCCAGAAAGGAAGCTGACAGCCAGCTGGCAGAATTCAAAGAACCAGCAGCTGAGCCATACATTTTGTAGGAAGGCTAAAAAGGTGAAGATGATGGAGTGCAGTCTGTTAGTGGGAGAAGGTTATGTTTGTCTTGTAAGTGCCAAGATCTTAGCAGTGCCAGGATTGCAACCAGACCCAAGAAGGTGGCCCATTGGAACGCTGGACCCAGGCAAGTGAGGGGGAATTTTGCAGGGAGAGCTTTTCCAAATTGAGCAGGTAGATGATAAGGGGTGGGTTTTAAACAATGGACAGGGGAAGGAAGGTGTATACTATTTGCATGGGTTTCTCACGCCTCAACCCTAATTTGGACAGGGCTCCCCATGCCTTCCTGCTGCACCTTTAAACCCTGCACCCTGCAAAGAGGAAGGACTGCTCATGTCAACTACTTTATAGTGAAGGCAGGATACAGTTGGGGTCAATTGAGCTTCTCAATAGGGCGTTGGGTAGTGTTGTAGAACAGAGGGACCTAGGGGTACAGGTACGTAATTCTTTAAAGTTTGTGTCACATATAGACTGGATGGTTAAAAAAACTGTTTGGCATGCTTGTCTTCATTGCTCAGTCCTTTGAGTATAGGAGTTGGGATGTTATGTTATGGTTGTACAGGACACTGGTGAGGCCTCTTCTGGAATATTGTGTCCAGTTCTGGCAACCTAGTTATAGGAAGAATATTATCAAGCTGCAGAGGGTTCCGAAGAGTTTTACCAGGATGTTGCCAGGTATGGAAGGTTTGAGTTATAAGGAAAGGCTGGGACTTTTATCACTGGAATGTAGAAGGTTGAGAGGTGACCTGATAGAAGTTTATAAAATAATAGCAGGTCTAGATAGCATTGATGGTAATTATATTTTCCCTAAGATGGGGAATTTCAAGACATTTTTAAGGTGAGAGGAAAGAGTTTTAAAAAAGACATGAGGCATATTCTTTTACACAGAGGATGGTTCACATGTGTAATAAACTTCCTGATGAAGTGATGGATGCGGATACAATTACAACATTTAAAAGACATTTGGATAGTTACATGAATAAAAAAGGTTTGGAGGGATATGGGCCAGGAGCATGCAAGTGGGACTAGTTTACTTTGGGATTATGTACAGAAGAGACTGGTTGCACTGAAGGGTTGGCTTCCATGCTGTATGACTCTGTAGTGGGGAAAAGGCAGGAAAGTTGAGGATTATCAGATCAGCTATGATCTCACTAACATAGTGGAGCAAAACTGAACGGCTGAATGGCCTACTTCTCCTCCTGCATCTTATGGTCTTATGTTAAAAGTTTCTCATGTATTTGCCTGAAAGCAAAATCTACAAATAAGAAATGCGGTAAAGCTGCCCCTTAAGGACCACGCAACGAAATTTCAGGATACTGATAGATCCTTAGACTACCATTAGTTTGACTGGGCCTACTACCTTTTATAGACCATTTTGCTTCTTAAAGTGGAGAAATTAAGTCTTGTTTTAAACTGGGTTAACTTATAACTAGTTAATTTTAAAACCTAGTTTTTGTGCTCACATAACAGCCTAGAGAAAAACAGCCTGTTTGTACTTACATCTGTTTACCATCATTTAAAATACTGCTACCTCCCCTGAACCTTCCCTTGTGGTTTGAAAGTAAACTAAACTCTTAGAATCTTTCTGATGACAAAATTTCTTCCCTCCCACCATCCAACCAAGTCTCAAAACCACTTTTGGTGCTCTTTTCTTCACTTCCTCCATGCATTAACACCCAACCAAAGATTGTATGCCTGAAATTGTGCACAATATTCCAAGTATGCACTCACCAGCAATTTAAATAAAGTAGAATGACTTCTTCCTACATACAGTCAAATTCCGTTGCGATAGATCCTAGTATTTGATTAGTTTTCTGTTAATAGCTTCATCATTAATTTAGTGGTGTTTAATTATTATACTTTAAAGCTAATACATACCATTTCATTGTTCATTCTTTCATTATTTTCTGTTCTGAAATTTACTATTTTAAATGAAAATGCTTGTGCTGCTCCTTAAACAATTAGCATTAATGAGCAAGAATACTGATCCTTCTAAATCTTTCCTGTATTTTCTCACTAATCACAAAGCTTCATATCACGAATATAACTAACTTTTTTCTATTCTCAAGTTATTGGATGGACCATATAAATATAAAAATATTTCAATGAAATTACTTCTTATTCTTACAGAATTAACAAAATATAGGCCTGTCACTCAATCTCTCCTAATAGAAAAACCGTCTCATCCCAAGATTTAACCTAGCAAATGTTTACTACAGCGTACCCAAGGCAAAGCCACTAAAACTGTACCTTGTTCTCTGGCTGTGGTCTAACAAAGCCTTAGGAGAATTCCGGCAAGACTTCACTTCTATACATTGGCTCTCTAGCAATTTAAAGAAGAAAGTTATTCATTCATAGAATGTGGTATTTATTGTCAATCACTAACCATCACAGAGTCATAGAGATCTACAGCACCCTTCAGTCCAACTCGTCCATGCCAACCAGATATCCTCAATAAATCTCGTCCCATTTGCCAGCATTTGGCTCATATCCCTCTAAACCCTTCCCATTCATATACTCATCCAGATGCCTTGTAAATGTTGTAATTGTACCAACCTCCACCCCTTCCTCTGACAGTTCATTCCATACACGCACCAATCTCTGCATGAAAAAAATGGCCCTTAGGTCCCTTTTAAATCTTTCCCCTCTCACCTTAAACCTATGCCTTCTAATTTTGGGCTCCCTCACTCCAGGGAAAAGACCTTTTCTATT